CTAAGCCTATTTATTCTCCTTTGCTTTTCTTATCCTTCTATCTTTTTAGATGTCCAAGGCTCAGCCTTCTTTCCTCATTCATATCCACTTCCATGCCGATGGATTCTCAGTTATTCACACAACTTCTATACTGACAAAGACAACCTTAACCTCTTCTCTAATTCTACAGTCCTGTGTCCACCTGCTATCTCAGTATCAATACAGAGGTCTATGAGTTTTTTTTCCCTTAGACACTTTGCTTAAGAGACACCTTATCAAAAGAGCCTTCTGGAACACCTTGCATCAATAGCTACCCCATTCTCCAATACATTATTTTTCTACTTTATACTATACCTATTACCTATTTCATAACTCCTACTCTTGTCCCTCACCTCCCAACAAAATCTGGATTGCATAACTCAGGAAAAGCATATTTGTGTTCTTTACTATTTTATCCCCAGTGCTTGCTAGAATGCATAGCACATAAGTCTTTATGAAGAAGTATGTGAAATACTAAGTTCTATGACAGAATAAAACAATACTGTACAAAACTGGAATTTTCTGACTATAACTGGAGTAATACTTTTGCCATAGGAAAACCTTGAGATAGATCCATTTTTTGTGTGTAAGTCCCATTTACAAGTTTAAATAACTTACTCTGTTTCTCAGAAGTAGTGACTATTAGAACATATCTTAATATAGTGTAGAGGAAAAGCAATGTGATGGTTGATCAATAAGTTACTATGGTGTAGAAATAGTAGGTAGTACACTTTATTTTGTCTTAAAATTTTCTGTGTGTAATTTTAATGAAAGTCAGCCACATTCTGAGAAATTCAAGTCTATAACATTTTTTAAACAGCTTAAATTATCTTTTCAATGCATAAGGAAAATGTTCTACAGAATAGTAGGGATAATAGGGCTGGGAAGGTGGATCAGTGGTAGAGTGCTTGTCTTGCATGCATGAGGCCCTGGGTTTGATTCCTCAGCACCACATAAGCAGAATAAGCTGGAAGTGGCACTGTGGCTCAAATGGTAGGGTGCTAGCCTTGAGCTGAAGAACTGAGGGTCAAATGCCCAGGCCCAGAGTTCAGGCCCCACGACTGACAAAAGAGAAAAAGAAAGAATAGTAGGGATCAGATAAATATATATATAAGATAAGGGGTACAGAAAACTGAAAGAAAAATAGAAATAACTGCAAACGGTACATGGTAAAAACCTTGTTTCCAATTCTTGCAGTTCAGTTTGATAGGCTTCATTATATATGGTCATATGCACCTAGTGATTGGGTTATTGTGATTCTCTGCTAAGAATATCATAGACATATTCTAGTTATTGCAAATGAAGAAAACCATGCAATCTACATTTCTTTGGATCTGGCTTGCTTCGCTTGCATGAATTATCAAATACAAATACATCTCAACAAATGTGTATTGTTTAATATACAAAAAGAGTAGTAAGAATGAAAGGAATATTAAAATAGTATATTCAAAAACTCATGTAAAACTGGAATCTTTTCTCTCCTGTCAGTGGTTGCATAGCATGTGCTCCACTGTCTTCAATGACAGAAATCTTGCTTTCATCAGCATTCTCAGTGGATTTTTTTTTTTACCCATTTGAGCCAGTACTTTGAATGTTTACATTCAAACCGTTATTTATTTAAGCATAATTTGTTTTCATCTTTGCTAATGTATTGTTAAGAAAACATAATACTTGAGTTTCCAAGTGTTTTGTTCATGGCATAAAATTTATCTTAGTAATCATGTTTATACTTCGTGCTCCTCTCCTGAGACTCCATAACATTATGATTCCTGTCACTCACTTCCTGCATTATAGCGTTTGTGTTTCTCTCAATCATTTGCCATGAAATGAAGTCTTTCCTTGTTTGCTCTGACTCTTTTCTGTGATGGAAGTGAGGATAGAGACTCTTATTCAGCCATTTTGGAAATACTCTTTTTTGAGATTTTCTTCATAAAGACAGGAAACCTCATAGCCATTAAAACACTGTACAATCTCTGCATTGCAAAGAAGATATAATGTGTAAAATTTTCTCACACGTTTGGTCAAAAGAGATCTCAAAAGAGTAACTTTAAATATGTACTGAATACAATTTGAATTCTAATTGCAGTTTGGCTGTAGAGTACAAGATCTCTCTCTCTCTCTCTCTCTCTCTCTCTCTCTCTCTCTCTCTCTCTCTCTCTCTCTCATTTCTCTTTCCTCTCCATCCTTCCTTCCTTTCTCTTTCTTTCTTTCTTCCCTTCTATTTTCTCCAACATTCTCTCTTTTCCCTCCCTCCCTCTCTCCTCCTGTCTGTCTCTGTCTGTCTCTGTCTGTCTCTGTCTCTCTGTCTGTCTGTCTCTGTCTCTGTCTGTCTGTCTGTCTGTCTGTCTGTCTCTCTCTCTCTCTCTCTCTCTCTCTCTCTCTCTCTCTCTCCTCTTTTCTCCAAGTCCTAGACCTTGAACTCAAGGCCTAGGTGCTGTTCCTAAGCTTCTGTGGATTCAAGGATAACACTCTACCACTTGAGCCACAACGCCACTTTTGGCTTTTTCTGAATAATTTATTGGAGATAAAACTTTCCTACCCAGGCTGGCTTAGAACTGCAATCCTCAGATCTCAGCTTCCTGAGAAGCTAGGATTATATGCAAGAACCACTGGCTCCCAGATCTTTCTTTCTTTCTTTTGTTTTTCCTTTTACTTTTTATCTTATTGTTAAGGTGATGTACAGAGGGGTTACAGCTACATAACTAAGGTAATACTTACATTTCTGTCAAATTTGTTACCTCTTCCCTCATTTTTCTCCTACCTTTCCTCCCTCCACCCCCACCCCCAAGTTAAACAGATCATTTCCAACATTTTGTCTTGTGTATATTGCTGTTGCATTGGTCATTCTTTCTTTTGAAACAAGATGTTGCTATATAGCTCAGGGACCTTGAACTCACTATCCTCCTACCTTAGTCACTCAGATACTGGGATTACCCCCATGAGCTACCACATCCAGCCTCTCTTTCTATTCTTTTATTCATGGTACTTTAACTCAGGGCCTGGGTACTGTCCCTGAGCTTTTGCAGTCAAGGCTAGTGGTCTAAAACTTTGTGCCACAACGCCACTTTTGGTTTTCTGGTGGTTATTTGGAGGTATGAGTTTGAGTTTCATGTACTTTCCTGCCTGGTCTGGCTTTGAACCACAATCCTCAGATCTCAGCCTCCTGAGTAGCTAGGATTATAGGCAAGAGCCACCAATACCTGGTTTCTTTCTATTCTTACTGCCTTAATAATTTAATTTGTGTTTGTGTGTGTGTGTGTGTGTGAATATTGATGCATGTGCTGATACCAAGGTTTGAACTGAAGGCCTCACACACAGTTGGCTAGCTTGCTCACAGCTGGTACTCTACCACTTGAACCATGCTTCCAATACAACATTTTGCTGGTTAATGAGAGATTGAGTCTTGTGGACTTTTTTTTGCTCTGGTTTATCCTCTGATATTAGCCTCTTGAATAGTTTATACAAAAAGCATGAGAAACTGGTGCAAGGTCAATTTAGAATTTTCATCAGAGATAAAATGGATATGATTATCATCAGTTTTATAACAAAGGATTTTTAAAGTATGGGCAATACTCCCTTATTATGGCTCTGAATAGTTTTAATCTTCAAATCTTAGGTACTTACCCATAACATGCAAAGTCATTGTTAAAAAATGGCTTAAAGTACATCATCTTCTAAGAATTTGCTTCTGAATCTTATAAGTAGTTATGAAAGCACCTTTTTGAACCAGAACTCAGATTAAATAAATGAGTAGTAGAGATACTGAATTGAGGTCCAACTGGGTCCACATGTAACAAGTTTCTTGGTTCTTAGAAATAGTAAAAGTTGAAAAATTCAAATCTACCAGAACACAGAAAATATTATCAAGTATTTTTACCTTCCATTTTTCATAACTAAGACAAGGTTCTGCCCCACTCCACTTCCTTAACAAATAACCTTTGATTCAATAAGTAAATGACAGGTTTAATGGTAAACACCAGCAATCTGGGGGCCCCAGACTTGCATATTTACCCCTAGAAAAATTATATGGGAAATGGCGCTGTGGCTCAAGTGGTAGAGTGCTTGCATTGAGCTGAAGAGCTGAGGGACAGCACCCATGCCCAGAGTTCAAGCCCCATGATGGACAAAAAAGAAAAAAAGAAAAAGAAAAATTATATAAAAGAAACCAAAGGGCCAAAAGTTGTTTCCTTTCTATAGAACCACTATGCTAGACGGGCGTTGGTGGCTCACACCTGTAATCCTAGCTACTCAGGAGGCTGAGATCTGAGGATCACAGCTCAAAGCCAGCCGGGGAAGGAAAGTCCTTAAAACTCTGATCTCCAATAAGCCACCAGAAAACTGCAAGTGGCGCTGTGGCTCAAGTGGTAGAGTGCTAGCCTCGAGCTGAAGAGCTGAGGGACAGTGCCCAGGCCCAGAGTTCAAGCCCCATGACTGACAAAAATGAACAACAACCAAAAAAACTGCTATAGCAAAACCTCTTATTAAAAAAAACAAACTGCTATGCTTTTTTCCTCCCTAAGATGTGGTAAGAATAAAAAACTTGAGGTTTTATGTTTTATCACTCTGGGAAACTTCAGCTTTAAAAAAAAATCTTTTCAACATTTCCTCAGATTGTCTACCCAGCATCCTCAGGAGAAAAATTTCTTGTCTCCAATAAAATGTGGTTTCTAAAAATAATATATTCTTCTTATTATTTTATTATGTTTAAGTAGTTATATAAATGAGTTCCCATTCACCGAATCAGTTATGAATACAAAACGTCAAGACCAATGTCACAGTCAAGACCAATGTCACAGCTGTCAATATTCTCACCTGTCTAAGGTTAATGACATTGAGTAAAAGTAGTGAAGAAAAATGACAATTGGTATGATGTATTTTGTTTTAGTTCAGAAGCAATTTTGGCAAAATGAGTGCTTACTTGTGCTGATAAAATTACATTCTGTATATACTAACCATGTTTAAAATCATTTTCCTCTATTAAGCGGATATTCGCTTGCGTCCTAAGGGACATATAGATTTTCCAGTGGTATTCGAACCGACACGTATGAGACTATACAAAACAATACTCGTGGTTCAAGCTAGAAGAGCAAATGGAGAAAATTGGCCTGTTGACAATTTTGATGACTTGGATAAACGCCTGCAAAGGTAACATTGAAATAAAAAACATTAAGAGACAAAGATTTCTGTTTTAACTGCCACTGATAACATAGTTTTCTTTTGCATGTGGTACATATATAACATAAAGCTCATGATTTTCCAGTCTCCAAAATGCTGAAATTTCATGTAGTCAGAGAAAGAAAATTTCAACCTTAAATATTGCCATCAATTAATTGGTCAAAGGCACGCAAAGGGACTCATTTCTATCTGGAAAAATAGTAATTGCTAGGACAATAATAATCAATATCCTGAGTATAACTGCAGCAGTTTGTCTGGACAAAGCATATGACGTTTGATACTAGCATTCGCCAATGATGACATTGTACCAGGTGGATATGACATCCTGACAAAAGAATGCTATGATCAAGGGATACTGTGTGATTGCCAGAATGCAGGTAACTTACACGGTTTGCTTAGCTGAAAGTTTATCAAAGTCCAATAATAGTGAAAAGTTTAAATATTTTTTCTGCTTTTATAATTTAATTAAATGATGCTCCAGAAGTTGTAATCTAAAAGAACTTGATCCTATCAGTATCCATTCTGCCAGACTTATTACCATACTTCCTCTTCAGAGTCACATCAGCTACATAAATTGTAGAGTCATGAGAAAAATGAGAATAAGAAGCCCATAAAATCTTGATATTATGGATAATTTGAAGGCGGTTATGTTAGCTGCCTTATGTTATGTTAGTGCAACAGAAAACCATTGAGCCCTTCTTTGGATAGGATCAAGTGACATGACATGGTCCTGCTTGCAGTGTCTTATACTTCACTTAAACTCTTCCTTCGAAATGATCAGTAACACCTGATTTGTGTCCTAATAATGTAGGATGGAGCCAGGCACTGATGACTCACACCTGTAATTCTAGCTACTCAGGAGGCTGAGATCTGAGGATTGTGGTTCAAAGCCAGCCTGGGTAGGAAAGACTATTAGATTCTTTATCTCCAGATACCACTAGAAAACTAGAAGGTGAGTTGTGGCTCAAAGTGTTTGAGCACTAGCTTTGAGCAAAATGAGCTCAGTGACAGTGCCTCCAGGTCCCGAGTTCAAGCCCTATCAACAAAAAAAATGTAAGATGAACTTAGAAATATGTCCTGTCTTTTAACTGATTTCCCCTTACAGTAAATGCCTCATTGATTGCTGAAATACTCTTCTTTTGTTATTTTTATTTTGTGGTACTAGGGTTTGACCCTGGTGCCTCAAGCTCACTTGCTCAGCTTACTTGCTCACAGCTGGCACTGTGCCACTTGAACCATACCTCCAGCCCACTTTCTGTCTGTTGGTTAATTGGAAATGGAGTCTTTCACTCATTTCTCACAGGCTATCTTTGAACCTCTATTCTCTGGACCTCAGCTTCCTAAATAACTAAGTTTACGGGTGTGCCCTGCTTGAAATCATGTTCTTAAGGGGATTGTGACTGTCTGTGTGTGTGTATATTTGTGTATGCGTGTGTACTTTACCTGTCTAAATTAAAATAAAATTGATGAGTTCTGTATTACCTCTCATTAATCAGAATTTAGTTCCATCATTACATCTAATTTCCCTCTTTAAAAGAATCAATTAAAAGCTCCCTGATGGGTTTTTGTGATCATTTTCTAAGGTTTGCTCAAAAGTGTGTCTAGCTGGGCGCTGGTGGCTATTCAGGAGGCTGAGATCTGAGAATTGTGGTTCAGAGCCAGCCAGGGCAAGAAAGTCTGTGAGACTCTTATCTCCAATAAACCACCAGAAAACTGAAAGTGGAGCTGTGGCTCAAGTGGTAGAGCACTAGCCTTGAGCCAAAGAGCTGAGGGACAGTGTCCAGGCCCAGAGTTCAAGCCTCACAACTGACAAAAATCAACACTTACAAAAAATGTTTACTATTGTTTAAATCTGTCATTGTCTAAGTCTAAATCTGTAAACTTTATTAAAATGCCATTAGGTTAATAAAGAACTGTTTATTGGATATTTAAAGTGGTTTTCTTTACTTTTAACATTTTCATGTTTAACTAGACTTATGGCAACAGATACTGGAGAAGTCTCAAAAATAAACTGGATGTACCCTATTATTGGACTTCCACAAGCGCCACTTCCCAAAGATCCTCCAGGTAACTATACTGTGGTCAAAATAATAGGGAATTTTATCCATCATCCAATTCCATCTCTTCTCCACAGATTAGAAAATTGCGTTTTTAAAACAAATATAGCTGGAACATCAACCTCTTTCCCACCAATCAGTCTAATACTGGGGAGACCCAGAGGTCAACTCAAGTTGAAATGAAATTAACTTCAGACCCTTTCATCTCAAAGAGTGCTTTACTATATCTGTAAAATTCTTGGATACTTTTGTTTTTGAGTCATTTTAAATAATTTTTTATCAAATTATGTCTCATCTAAGAACTGCCCTGTAAGGTAGCTGACTCATTTCTTAAGTTGTCCTGGATATCAAAAAGAAGCTTTACAATATTCTACAAAACCAGTTCAAATACACTAAAGTTTTCAGAGAAGTTTATTTTGCCTACATGAACATAAAGTAAAAACCCATTCCCTGCATGCTTTTATTTTCCTGTGATCTCTTTTTTTTGCTTCTCTTTTTTTTGTTTCTCTCTAGTTTTTGTTTGTTGTTTCCTGAATATTTTCTTTACTTCTTCCATATTTCTTGATTTTCATGTTTTCTTCCCAAAATTGGCCTAAGAAATGAAAGTCCACCTAACCATATAAAGAAATTTAATATAACACAGTCTCTAAGCATTAGTTTTTCATAACTATCAAGTACTGAAACACTCTAGAAAGCAAAGGACCATGGGCTTTGGATCTTTGGACCTCTGACTTAGCAAGCACATAAGGTGTTTGTTTGTTTTGTTGTTAGTGGTGGTTGCTTTCTTCAAACAAAGGGCTCTGTTGTGTTTTGTTTTGTTTTGTTCAGTTTTGTTGGACTGGCAACTGAACCTAGAATCTTTGGCATGCTAGGGAAGCACACATACACTGCTTGAGCTATGACTCAGTCCTTTTTTGTTTGTATTGTGTGTTTGAGATAAGGTCTTCATAACTTTGCCAAGGATTGGTTTATAATTCATACTTCTGTTCCTCAATATCCAGCATAGCTAGAATTATAGGCGTGTTCTACCATATGCAACCTGGAGTTTATAAAAGTTTTGAATTTTCATTGAATACCTCTGTGAATACCACATTCAGTGACAATTTAAATGATGTCAAAGGAAGTTTTATTTTTCATGACATAATAATTATCTTCAATCATGGTATTTGCCATAAAACCTAATAGTTAAATTAACCAGAAACATTTCATTTTTTTCCTGTAGTTATCATAAAATGTCAGACGAAAAAGAGATTAGATGAGAAACTAGTTGTTAATCTAACTGGTGAGTTTTTCGGTCAGGATCCTGATCCAGAAAAAACCGAATTTGTAGTACGTCCAAAGAAATATTCATTTCAAGGTGATGATGAAGATTTCACTGGTAAGAAAACCATAATTATGGATATAAAAATGTTAATAAATTAAAACCTAATTGCTTTGACTTTTCGGTTGTTGATTTGTAACATAAAGATTCATGTCCATTTACTTTTCATACTCAATATAGTGTTCAAGTTAAAGAATTTGTTATCTTCACATATCAGTTAGCTCAGAAATTTCAGTATTTTTATTACTGGATTTATAAGACATCAGCTATCAACAATGAGAAGAGAAAAAATGTAGTGTCTGTAATATCTTTTTCTATTCTATGTAATTTGTTTTATTTAAGGCTCTGAGGATTGAACCAGACCCTTTCAAATGTAAATGTGTTCTGCCATTGAGCTAAACTGTCAGTCTTTTTCTAATTTAAGGATTAATTCAATTGTTTGAAGCAGTGTAGCTATTGTGAATTTTTTTTTGGAGGCTCCTCAACATTTAAAACCAGAATTACCATATACTCCAGTAATTGTACTTCTGGGTTAAAAAAAAGAATTAAAAGCAGAATCTCAAAGAAATATCTTTATTTCCATTGTTCATTGAAACATTATTTATATTGGGCAATATGTAGAAACCAACTAAATGTTAATCAATTGGTGAATAAAAATATGAGGTAGAAACATATAGTGGGACAATATTTAGCTTTATGAAAAAGGAAATGGTTGTATAATAAAAGTCATTATTGTAGGTGAAATAAACCAGTCACCAAAAATCAAATACTTATGATACTACTTTTATATGATAAATTATAAATAGTCAAACTCACAGATACAGGGATTATAATAGAATTAGAAGGGTCTACACAGAAAAGTAATAGACAAATTGTAAAATGAATAATCACTAGAAATCTGTTGTAAATAAAGTACCTATAGTTAAAAAATATTGTAGCTTAAAAATGTATGAAGAGGTAGATCATGAGCTGCATAAATGTAACAGAAGCTAAAGAAATATTTACGCATAGAAAACTTTTCTGTAGGTTTCACTATTTTAAGTCTCTTAACGTGTACTCCAATCAGGATTCAAGCTAAAGAAATTATAACTCTAATAATATAGATGATTCAAACTTATTACTTGAAAAATTCTAAATTTTCCTAGATAACCAAGGTAAGAAAGCAGCCAACATCGTGTCAAATGTAATATTAATAGAACAATCTATTTCAAATAGTTATGGAGAATATAGTTTTTAATATGGTCATTATTGTGCTGCTTAATTACTTTTCAGATGAAAAAGATTACTTAAGTCTAAAAATAACTGTATGGAAGGTTTGCAGACCAATCTCAAACAAGTGTTCTCTCTAAAACACGTATATTTTCTTCTGTTCAATATCACCAATGTCACCAAGCATATTCATTTTTTTATGTTTGTAAATCTTCTGTTTTGTTCTCCTAAAGTAGATCCCACTGTCTAGAAATAGAATGATAAATCATCTCTCAAATTTAATATTTTTCTGTGTCAATGCTATCTAAATATTTGGTAAAATAAATTGATCACATTTTTTCTTTACTGGCATATGTTAACAACCTTGTTGATTTTCCTGCCCTTTTTCCAAGAGTATAAGGAAATTACCTTCATTCTCTATAAATCTTTCTTTGGCTTCCTTTTCCACCTATATCTATATGAAGAAATGTGTCTGGAAAGTCTGAATATTGTCAGTATTATAAGTGCATACAACAGAAAATCAGTTCCTTTCTCTTTCATACAAAATGAATTGCAATTTACAGAGCATATTAAACATTGTCCAAAGGAGTATAAATGGTATTTTGTACCTTATGATGCAAATTAAAGCACTATATTCTGTGACTTGGAGTCTGATTAGGTTTTAGGAGTCAAAATTAATCACAGTTTTATCTTTCCTCACCTGAATTTAAAAGTGAAAAACAAATATCTTATTTGTGTGAGACACATAAGATGAAAATGTGAGCTTTATTACTTATAAAGTTGAACTGGAAAATAATTTGACTTTCTGGGGTCATTGGGGTTTATTTGTTCCTTATTATAAAATGAGTATATGCATGGATTTAAGCATGTAAGAATTATATCTATATATTAATTTATTAATTTACCTTTGAAAGGAAAGATGCACAATGTTATATAGCTGTAAATACAGTAGACATTATGAACATAATAATAGATAATATTTACTTTTTCCCTTCCCTTAAATACACACACACACACACACACACACACACACACACACACGTAATTAATGCTGACTCATAAATTTATATTCAAGCTATGCATATTTGATTAAATATAAATATATTTTATTTTTCCCAGAAATGCCTAAAGTACGTGAATTTGAATATGACCTAGAATATGAAAATGAATCTCTGAAGAATGATTTCGATGCCTGTATAACTCTATATGTGTTACAACAAGATTGTAATGTAGAAGAGGAAACGTTAACATTGATCTTCAATCTGATATTTATACCAATGAAACCCTTAAAGTAAACTTGCTTTCCTTATTTTTTGTTGAACAGTATTGTGATTTTTTTAACAATGTTACCTTACTTTGCATCTTTCAATATTTGAATTTCCAGCATTCCATATTTCTGTATAACTATGAGAAAAGTGTTTTGGACTATATTATTGCTAATTATGAAGCTATAAATGTAACTTTTCCTACTAAGAAAAAAATGGTCTAAGTGGAAGGAAATTTAAGATATCTATGAAGAACTGTGGCATCCTTAAGTAATATTAACCAATGAAACAATGAATTTGGTAAAATCTAGTTTTGATGTGAGCATGTGGAAGGGATGGGGTAGAATGGTGTAAAGGATGACATGTATAAAAGTGCATTGTACTTATAAGCTGATTTGTTGAACCATAACCCCTTTGAACAGCTATTTAAAGATAATAAAATATAAAATAAAATAAAAATCTGATCAAGTGCAGTACACTAGCAACAATATTAGCTCTTAATATTCCTTCTTAGAGTATAGGCAGTTCAAATGATGAAACTATTTACACTATATTCTTTAGACTCCACTCATATCCCTTGTAAATGGGATCTGAAAGAATAGTGAACTTTGGATGTTTATACTCTGTACACTCTCTGTATATCATGTAGTGTTTTGATGTTTACATTAGGAAACTAATTCTTAGTAGCTGCAAATACTATGCTATGCTACATATAGAATAGGAATTTCTTTGTATTTGGATGCAGACACAATGGTTAGAACCACAATATATACAAAGTATAATGTGCAGAAGAGAAAAATTGAAATTAATACTGGGCTTTTAATCATTCCTAATGTGTGCAACTGCGTATTCAATGCCATCATGAATGTATTTCAAGTGGCTTGAATGTTCGGGATGGAGCTCAGTGGTGAAATGCTTGCCACATATGTGTGCAACCCTGTTTTCAATGCTCAGGGGAAAAGGAGGAGGAAGAAGAGGAGGAGAAAGAAGATTACTAATGCCATGGTATAAGAAAATATGAAAATATGAGACAGATAAAGGTTTTAGGTTTGCATTTGGTATGTGTTAACTTTAGGGTCATATATGGTTAGTGGCTTACTTACATTACATAGATTTCCATTGTTTCTTTGTGGCACATTTTTATCAGTATGCTATTGAAATATCATTTTGAAATTTTTGTTTCCACTTTTTATTTTTAATTTTATTACCTTTAATATCTGTACAAATATCTGTACAAAGGAGTTGCCATTTCACAAGGCAGTTTATGAATGTGATATATATCTTGATGAATGTCACCCCTTTCAGTATTCTTACCCATCCCTCTTCTCTATTTTGCAGCATATACACTGGATTCTTGACTACATTCTCCCCTTCTTCTCTTCATTCATCCATCCTTTTCCCTTGTCCCTACCCCACCCTTTTCAAGTGCCCACTTCTTGGCCTTTTATTTTGTTGTACTTCAATTTGCCTTTCTAAGGAATTACACTGTTTGAGTTCTCCCTTGAATATACCATATTACAGTTAATACACTTGCATACACTTGCATACCACCCAATGTATCTATAAGTTTATAAGCTAAATCTGGCTTCCACATACATACAAGGAAAAACATGTATCCTTTGTCTCTCTCGGCCTGACTTACTTCACTCAATATAATATAAACAATGCAATAATGAACATCCTCATACAATCTTTGAGATTTGTATATCCAGGAAAAATTACTAAAAGTGAAATTTTTTCTTATGTGGTGCTTTAAATTTGGAAATTTGTCTATTCACTCCTCAAATGGTTGCGTAGTTTTATAGAACTACCTAAAGAAGAACAGACTGGCCAGAGCAATTCTTTGTGTTTTTTGTTTGTTTTTCTAAGAGCTGTTCTCTTTTACACTTTATGTAAGAATTTTGTAATTTCATTTTCCAATCCAGAATTATGATATTGCCACTAACTTGTTAGCATAGTTGAGTCATATACACCCCAAGCAGGCAAACAACCAGAAAACCCTTCTACTCCATATGCTATCTTCCTCCTCCCCTCTTCATCATAACCAAGTGCTTTGAAAGTCTGCTTTTTACATTAACTCAACTGCCACTTTATCCTTCAACATACATGTGATCTTCACTAATTACTATTTGATTTTTTAAACTTTACATTACATGGGATTTCATAGCAGTAGACAAATAGTTCTCTGTGTGAGGAAAGTGTTGATAAGGTCTAATAGCAATACTTCATCTTGGGAAAAAATCCACAAATGGACTATCATAAAATTGTCCATAAATTCTTAAGTATTGAGAAATTCTATGCTGGTTACATGGTATTTGCAGATTCCATTTTTCATAAATGAGTGGATTTTAGAAAATAACTACATAATAGAGAAGATAACCCACAAAATAATTATCTCAAACAGAAAATGACATAAACTATTGCCTACAAAATATTCCCAAGTAAAAGTAGTATTAATCTACATTTTAGAAGAACTAAGTGTCTCAATTTTTATTGCAATCTCAAAACTTGCTTGCATTTTAGCCTTTAAGAGAGCTTTGAGGTGCCAGGCACTGGTGGCTCATGCTTATAATCCCAGATGTTCAAGAGGCTGAGATCTAAGTGCCACAGTATAATGTCAGTCTGGGCAGGAAAGTCCATGAGACTCTTATCTCCAGTTAACTGCCAAAAAGCCAGAAATAGAGCTATGAATGAAGTGGTAAAGCACTAGCTCTGGGGAAAAAAATCAACTTAGGGACAGCACTGAGGCATTATGTTCAAGCCCCAGAACCAGCATACATAAACAAAAATTACTTGAATGTATGTATTCTCTTTCCATGTTTGTAATATCTTTAAGTTTTTTCTTTTATGTTGTAGGGCTCTTGTTACAATCAAATTAGAGTGTATATCTGAAGGAATCTGGAGGTTTCCATTAATATTGATGGCTACTGAGCCGGAAGTGGAAGATGTCATTGATATCCCAGGAATTGGTTTATTTAAAGAATCTGTTATAGACTTCAGAGTGACAAGTCAGACAAGGTAATGTATAAAATAGAAATATATAATTGGTTTTATGAGTCTTATTTGCTGGACCCTGGGGTTAAATTTACAATGAAAAAGCCTATGGATCATCTTTTATGTACTTTTGAGAGAGAAAAAACTCAAATTATGTGCCTTATCGTATTTATTACAGTGTACCAACTTTGGAAACCCTCTTTTTATTAAGATCACTTTTTATTTATTCAATCAACACATTTTTCAATTTTCAGTTTATACTTGCTTATTATGCATATTGTAGTACATTTATACCTAGATATTTCCATTTTAAATATTATTTTATTAGATTCTATTAGTTGCAGGAGGGTTTCTTGTCACACTTCTAAACATGCATGCAAAGTATCCAGATCAAATTCACCCACTCCATCTTTCTCTCCCCCTCCCCAACTTCCCTTCTTAAAACAAAAGGATTAGAGGTATAGATCAAGTAATAAGATGTTTACCTATAAAATACCAGGCCTTAGGTTCAAACCTCAGTACTGAGAAAGTATCATCTGGGTCTGGAAATTTCACGTGCAAAAGCTTTTAACCGTATATCTACTTTAATACTTACATGAAAGATTGGCATGGTGGCCACATTTGTTTTTTTGTTTTTGTTTTTGTTTTTTTTTTGTCAGTTGTGGGGCCTGAACTCTGGGCCTGGGCACTGTCCCTCAGCTCTTCAGCTCAAGGCTAGTGCTCTACCACTTGAGCCACAGTACCACTTCTGGCTTTTTCTGCTTACGTTGTGCTGAGGAATCAAACCAAGGCCTCATGCATGCAAGACAAGCACTCTACCACTGAGCCATCTTCCTAGCCCCCACATTTGTAATCCTGGCACTCAGTAGGCAGACAGAAGGATCAAGAGTTTACCCTGTTTCATAAACTAAAAATATCCCCTGTTGTCACTGGATTTGATTTTGGTATCCTGAGTATTTAGTACTCTGAATTAGGGAAGGGAAGGGGAACAACAAAGTGGTGAGTAAAGGACCAAGAGGGAACCAACGCAATAGCCATACTCAAAAAACAGTATGTTGGAAATGAACTGTACAACTGGGGAGGGATGGATGGGAGGAAAGTGGGACAAAAATGAGGGAGGGGTTAACAAGTTTGACAAGAAATGTACTCACTACCTTACTTGTGTAACTGTAATCCCTCTGTACATCATCTTAACAATAAAATTTAAAAAAAATTAACACAAAATACCAATCTGAGGACACTCCAAAATGTAGATCCATAAAACTTAAAACAAATAAATAGCCACGTTAAAAAAACCTAAAACAAAAAGTCAGTTATAAAGAAAAATAAAAACTGGCTTACGTAGATTATTTATTAAAAATTATGTGAGTTGTGGCAGTTTGTGCTTTTCAACTAATCAATTAATTTCTTCTGAATTTTTAAAACATATGTGTAGGGTTGTATATAATATTGTGTTATTTTTCCATTGATATTTACAGAGAATCCTTTTTGTAAAAATCTGTCACTGGCAGCTGCTTTTGTCACCACTTGTGTTAGAGGTTTGTCAATTTGGGGGGCTTTTTTTTTTTAAAGAACTAGTTCTGTATTTTTACTGTTTTAGTTTTAATTCTACTTTCATTCTTTTCTTTCTTTACCTGCTATGAATTTATTTTGATCTTTATTTTCTAGTTTCTTAAAGCAAGAGTTAAATTATTGATTTAGGTCTTTCCCTTTTGTCCTGTAGCATACCCTGAAAGTTCTGATTTAGCTGCATTGTATGGTTTTAATATTTATGTTACTATGTAAATATTATATACTATACTTTTATTTATTCGGTTCTATATTTTCATATTCATTGCATTTTAAACGTATTTTTTAATTTTCTTTGAGACTTCCTCTTGGAGGCATGACTTATTTACAACAGTGTTATTTAACTTAAAAATATTTGAAGATTTGGTGTCTCCCGCTTACTGATTTTTAATATTAATTCACTGTGTCAGCAAACATACTCTATATAAATTCAATTATTCAGGGCTTGGAATGTGGCTTAGTGGTGGAGTGCTTGCCTAGTATCCATGAAGGCCTGAGTTTGATTCCTCAGTACCACCTACACAGAAAAAAACAGAAGTGGTGCTGTGGCTCAAGTCGTAGAGTGTTAGCTCAGGGACAGTGCCCAGGCCCTGAGTTCAAGCCCCAGGACTGTCAAAAAAGAAAAAAAAAGAAAACAAGAATTATTCATGCTTGTAAGTAACTTGTTTCTGCAGAGGAATCCATGGATAGATACATAAATGCACAATATAGAATAATGTTCAGTGTTCTGTAGTATCTATTATAGCCTGCTAATTGATTATATTGATCAATTCTTTTGCTTTCTTTCCTGAATTTCTGTTCAAATAATTCTATCAATTAGCAATGGAAAGTTTACCTTAAAGCATACTTACAGATAAAACAGAACCTTGATATATTTCCTAGGTTTCTGGAATACAATGGTTTTTATACATATTTACTATTTTTATTCAAAGATCTCATAAAACTTTAAAAACCTTGTTAAAGATTAGCCATTTAAAAAATGATGTGTATCCTTGTTTGTTGCATGAAGCCATGACGAAAATATATTTGGAATTTGTTCAAAATAAATTGTGTATTGGAATATTCAGAAATATTTAAGGGATTAACACATAGTTATGGACATTATTAAATCTCTATTCTTCTAGTAATTTAAACATTTTTGCTCGTTGATCTAGGTATACTTTCCCAGTTTGGTCAGGTTTCTTTTGCTCCTTATAAAATCAGAAGCAAAAAAATGAATTCTTGTTTTACTGTCATTCCTATTTACTCTTAGAAAAGTAATTCACTGTGTCTTTTTACTTCCATTCATTTCTTCTTGGAATGCTACCTCTTAAGTCAGAAGTCAATTTTCCTTCATTATCTACATACATCTTTCTGCCAAACACTTAAGCTTTGAACATTAGTCATTAGTACTAGGAGTCTATTTTAAATAGTCTACATCACAAATTTTACACATAAGTGAAAACTAAATATAGATTCCATCTAAAGCATGAGAATGTGAATTTATTTTATAACTTGAATTAATGAGTTAAACTATCTTCATTCTTGATTGTAGAAAATAAATAATTCATAGAGTTCACAGTAATCTAGTTATATTGTGCTATTGTTAATCATTCTATAATATTATTCTGCCCTTATTTTAATGAAAACATAGGAATTTAATCATTTGAAATGAAAATAACACAAGTTCAGTCCTTCATCACTTCACTTGTGATTGTTCTTGACAGATGCAATTAAGTAATTCAAACTTCAGTTATAAGATATTACAATCAAAAAGAAAAGTCTCAAAATTTTATATGACACAAGGAAAACTCAATAAGATCTCATCATGATTACTTCTTTCTACATTGAAAAATAAATTAGTTTCATTAGTCTACTTTGTCTTTACTTCTAATTGGAAAGTGTCTGCAAATTAACTGGAGACATAGACTTAGGACCATGTTTACCATCAGAAAAAGGGAGTAGGTTTATCCTGTTCTAAATATCCATTTTTAATTCAGATGTCATTGTGATACATTATCTCAGTGTATTGAGTAGCTATCTTAAGTTGAATAGACTCATCATCATAATAGCTATTATTTTAAAGAAATAATTAACATATGATTATCTATATCATATGATAAAAAGTCAAGCTTGAATCTATTATCTTAATCTTCCTGCAGTTCAGTTCTTGCTTTCCTGATTTCCCTTAAAGTATAACTTTATATTTTCATGCAACGGCTTTGAGAAAATGAGGCAATTACAAAGTCAATTTCTTCAAATTCCTATGTCATTTTTTTTTGTATTTTCACTTAGTACTTGATTTTTTAATGTCTTTGAGGTTTTCTCTTAATTGTAACTGAGTCTTTGAAACAGTAAAGTCGGCTTCCTTAAACATTGGTATTTTTAGTTATAAAAGAAAATCATTTTGCTTCATTGTAATCTAGAAATTTGAAGATCATTTTAGTTAATATTGCTAACATTTTCTTAAGTAGTTCACTTAGAATTTTTTATTTTGATGTATTTTTGTGAGTATCAAAATCAAGGAAAATCTCAGTGGCAATTTAAAATAAATTTACTTAATTGAATCCCAATAAACACTTCCTAAAGAATGAATGCATCTACTAGAAATTCTAGGATATAAAGACATATATGGCAGATGCATTCAAAATGTGATAAAGAAATAGATATATTGGTTTGAACTCTGTTATATTGAACTTTCATATATAGTGTTAAGAATTACAAAGAAATAAAAAAAAAACCAACAAAATGTTATTCTAAAGTATGGATTTTGATTCACTCCAGCTTGGCTTCTGAGTTGGTAATAATATGTCCCTTTATTTTTAAGATTGAACAGAAAACATAGTTATGCTCAGTAAGAGCATTGAGTGTGTAGATTCAAGGAACTTTAGTGTATGTTAAAGACTTAGGGTTCCTCATTCAGTAACAATCATGTTGGCCATGTCTGCAATTGTGTGAATTCTTAATAGAATTGGATGATAAAAATGGCTTCTTCTCATCCCTGACAGTTTATGCTGGTTGTTGGCTAGAAGCTCAGGTAGGAATATTGATGGTAGTATGCCTGAGTATAGTCTCTTATGTATAATCCAGGTACTAATATTATGTATATAGTAGTTGATTTCACATGGTGTGCATTCCCCAAGAGACCCAGGTGGAAGTTGCATGTCATTTTGACATTGAAAATCCTGAAAATTCCACAATGTCACTTAAGTTGCATTGTGTTGGTTACAAGGCAGCCATTAGGTTTGTCTGGATATAAAAAAGGCAGCCTAGGTAGCAGTTTTCAATTGGAAAACATGCAGTTATCTCTCTACAATCTTCTTAGGTATTGTCACTAGCAGGTAACATAACCAAAGATACAGAAAGGAATGAATTTACTTTCTTTGTATAGGTTAATTTTCTAGGACACTTTGAAACTACTTACTTCCATATTCCAAGTCCTTTTAAGTTTTATTTTAAATGACTCAGTGATATAA